TTTTATTTCACTGACAGTATATCACAGAAAACATGATGGTTGGTGATAAAAGGCTGAGTTGAAACAGGTGGATTCACAGGAAAAGGACAAGAATGGAGTCGATAAAAACCTCCCAAGGAACAGATAGATGCCTTCAGATTTTCTTCCTCGGGAGCTAATGGAGCTGATTTGAAAGGAAGTGATTGCCTCGTTGAGCCAAGACACTGCCATGATTCACGCTAACCTTCCTCTGGTGGGCAATTTCGTTCTCGCTCTTACAGCCCCCAAGGAACTGCATGGGTGCACACTGGAGTATTTCCTGACCAAAGTTCATGTACACTGTAATTTAAGTAAAAGCCCTGATTACATTCTGTGCTGCTCTGAGTTAAATGATAGGAAAACCTGATATGTGTGGAAGGGCAGAGGCAAGTACATGTGTTCTCCACCCCCCGTTCAGTAAAAAAATAGCACAAGAAATGAATCAACTGAGGCTGATTCTAAACATTGAACGGCTAATTCTAGGAAGTTGGAAACAAAAATAGAGTACCAAGAGTACCTGTAAGACCAGTGTCCTGCTTTATTAATTTATGTATCACATCCAATTGCTTCAATGCATCCTGTAAGATATATATTTACACGTGGGGCTGTCAGATTATTCATCTGAATATAACAAACAGTTAAATGCCAGCGAAATTAGAATCTGTTGTATGTATGTTGCTAGATGCCCTACTTTGAATTTCTCAGTGGGTCTATTAATTTTCCTGTGAGATGATTTTAGATATATCCAAATGCATATTCTGAATGACTAGGGCACTTTCAGAAATTTATCCTATTAGCAACCTACCTTCTGGTAATTTACACCCTATTCAAAAGCCATCCCACTTTATTATATCCTCACACTATCCAATGAAACTTGAGCAAAGGAGCTAGTAGTGTTAGGATGAAGTCTGTTGTTTCCGAGTGTATCATAGGTTTGCTGTGCTTTACTGTCTTAGACTACTGGATTTAGCCTACTGTATTCAGGTTAGTGGTTTATCAGGGCAAGACATAACCGTAAAGAGGAGGAATTGTTGTCATTTAAGTGTAGGTTCTTATCTGACTCATAGGCTGATTTATCGTATAGCAAGAACTTGGCAAAATCATAAGACGTTATAAATAATAGGTTTTAAGTATTGCAGTATGGCTTCACTATCTCTATAGTCTTGACAATATAGTGATTTGATCTTGAGTGTAAGTCTTAGTGTGAAACGAAGGCGTATGCAAAACACGTGACCCTTACTCATCCTTGAGTTGTGTCATCATCCTTATCTGGCTCTCATTTTTTCCCACGACACTTATCACCATCAAAAAAAACCCCCCCACAAAACCTATAAAATATACATATTTGTTTGCCTTTATTCTTCCACTCCCAGAATGCAAGCTCTGGGAGGGGAAGGATATTTGAGCATTTTGCTTTACTGACATATTCACATAAAAAGCACTCAATAAATACTGGTCGAATGAATAGATAGGAAACATCATACCAGCAGAAAGTGCAAAAACGTAATAATCATTTGAACAAAAACATGCGTTAAACTCCATTCTGGGACTAGTGAGGAAGTCTGGACGCCATTACTTACTGTACGATATTGTAACTTCAGGGGACTGAGCAAAATGGAACAGCATCTGCTAACGAAACATGCTTCTCCTGTCTTTACGCTCTTTGTATCTTTTTGCCTTTGCCCATGTTTCCCCTTCCATGAAAAATTCCTTTCCCCTGTAGTTTTAGATTTGGCTAATTCCCGATCACATTTTGAAACTTAACGTCAGGTAGCAATTTCTCCGGGAGTCTTCTCTAAGTCCCCAGTATTATGGGTTAGATGTTCCTGCTATGTGCTACAACAGAACTCCTTTACCACAGTATTAAATCTTACCAGACTGCATAGTTTCCCTTCCTTGTTCTCTGAGCTCATTGTGCTCTGAAGGCAGAGGCCATGGTGCTTTGTTTGTTCCTTGTTAAAATCCACAAACATAATATTTTGTTCCTAGAAAGCACTTAGTTAAAGAGTAAAGGGAAGAGGGATCTTGGAGGAAAGGATAGAGGGGGTGGGGAATAGAAAGGAAGAGATGAATAAAGAGTGGGAAAAAAGTCGTTCAGTTAATCAAGACAAATCATCTCAGACAGGGAAGAATTTGCAGTAGGTTTCTGAGAAGGGTTGATTTAACAAATGAATTCAGATGTTATGAGTACCTCTGTGTGCCAGGCACACTTTTAGACCCCGAGGGGGCTGCAGTAAACAAAGAGATAATGTCATTGTCCCCATGGAACAATTTTATTTTAGGTTAGTCTGAAAACATGTTTTTTAGGTTTTGATTTTTTTTTTTTTTTAGTAGGGGAGACAGACAATAAACAAGCATAATATTATAGATCAAGTATAATATATGTTATATATTATATTGTATATGTAACACAATGTACAACATGATGTAAAATATAGTGGAAAATACACAAATTGTAAAAATATATGAATTATACAACATATATGAATTTTATAAAGACATATGAATTAAGATATATGAATTATATAAAAAATGAATTATATAAATATATGAAATAGAAATAATGAATTCTATAAAATATATAAAATACATGAAATATATATTCATAAAATATATGAATTATATAAAATATATGAAAAAATATGTGAATTATATAAAATATATGAAATACAAAAAATATATGAGTTACATAAAATATGTGGATTATATGAAGATATATGAATTATATAAAAATATATGAAGTTATGAAATATACAAAAATGTACGAATTACATAAATTATATGAACTACATAATGATATATAAATTATATAAAATACATGAATTATATAAAGATATGAATTATATAAACTATATGAGTTACATAACATTAACATAACAAGATAACATAAGATAAGAAAGATAAGATAAGCCAAACTTTGGGGATGCTAAAAGGGAACCTGTGGATTGCCTGTCTTACTTTGTAAAGATTCCTTATTAGCGTTTACCTGTCCTCTCCCAGAATGCGGAGCACAACATAAATCACTCCAGGCATGGCATTTATAACTTACATGTGTGCCTCTGCCCAGAATGAATGTGGGAGGAACGATTTGCATAGATGTCAAAACCATACATGGACCTTTGAGGGGCCCACCTCCCAGGGGCTTGCGGAAGCACCCAGCCCTGAGGGGATACTCGGGGAGGGGGGGCTGGAGTCTCCCAGCAATCCCAGGGATCCCTTGCACAGCTGGGCGGGACCCTCATCTCTCCACCGACAGCAGGGATTGAAAATGGTTACGAACCAAATAAATTTGGCTAATACATTTGGTTACAAAGCGAATCAACTTCTCCAGACGTTTGGTTAAAAATGACTTCCCTCTGTTTCTTTCTCCAAGGTCTTGATTCTCTCGGTGTTATTTACTAAGTCGTTTCAGGAGACAAAGAATTGAGTTTTGTACTTGATGGGGGGAGATTGCAGGATCTGGGCACCGATTGTTGACGGCTGTCGCTTCCATTAATAGTAAGAAATAGACCACCCCCTGCGCTCTCATATAGGCGAGTTATTTTGCGAGCATATGGAAGACTGAGCTTAGGGTACCACAGTGCTTTGTGGTAGAGGGGGAAAAAAACCAAAAACAATCACAGTGAATGAGGGAGAACGGCTGTGTTATTGCAGTACACAAGACTTTGATTACATACTGCCAAGATTCATACCAGCCTAGTAGTTGTTGACAGATAAAGTAACAAAAACGAAACTCATTTATTTATTTTTTTCCTTTATTGAGACCTCAAGGAAAAGCAGATTTTCAGTTCTTGTACTTACTACGTTGATGGAACAGAGACTGACAGCAAAAATGTGCCAGTCCAGAAATATAAATTAAACCTCGGTTCATATCAAAATTCCATTTAGTCTTGGAAAAGGAAACGCTGGTTGGATTATTTTTGATCCTAAATCAAATATACCGTGGAGTATCACCGTGTGCCTAGTATATGTTAACCCTTTCCTGTGAATAATACTTTCAAAAGTACTATTGTTTTCAGACTACGATGCTTTATTTCTTGGACAGTGTTGGAGGCAACTTGAATTGTCGTCAGAGTAGGTTATATTTTACTGAGTTCAAATTACTAGCAACGGACGTGTACATTTTGGTCTGCAGGAAGTATGAAACTAGATTTGGAAAATTGATAACAGGCCCTTTTCTCTCTTACAAAGTCATATTCGATGCTGCAGGTTGATTATCGAGATAAGGACAAAGGTAAATGGGAAACATAAAGTGAGAGTTTTTGGTTAGTTTGTTGAGAGCGTTGATGTCTTTTGACCAAATTTCTGACTGCATCATTGGTAACTTCCCTTCATGTAACTTAACTTGACAGAACAAAAAAGACCTATAAGCAACACCATCTCTCACTTGCTTTTCTTTTTCTCTCTCCCTCTTCCTTCCTTCCTTCTTTCCTTCCTTCCTTCCTTCCTTCCTTCCTTCCCTCCTCCTCTCTCTTTCTCTCTATTTTCTCTCTCTCTCTTTTTATTCAACTGTCAACATGGAAATTTTCTACAGTTTCTCATAATGAAGGTACTAGTAAGTCGACGACAGAATTCCGGAAACAACAACACGGTTTACTTTGGGAATGATATACAAGCGGGCAAACACAACGATCGGTGAACTTGAAGCATCACTGTAATCCAACAGTGTCCATTTTTTGAGCCTATCCTAAACATAATTTTGCTTAAGCTTTTTATATTATTATTCTAAAGTCTACATTTGATAATTTTCTCATTAATTTTTCAGCAACCGAAAGACAGCATGAACTTGTTTCTTGAATTACCTTTTCTGACCTTTTGCAAGATGATAATTACAAAAAAGGAGGCCTGGAAAGACTTGTACAAAAATTAAGCTTATAAAGTAGCTAAAATGGCCCTTCTGTGCTGGTGTCGATTTCAAAATTAACATTTTGGTTCATGTGCTTCTAATAATCACTGACCCTTACTTCGTGTACTTTCCACAGGAAATGAATACAGCAGAAATTACTTTGACCCACTGATGGATGAGGAAATAAACCCAAGGCAGTGTGGGATGGAGGTCAGCAGAGAGGGTGAGCTAGAATTAAGTATGTAATTTTTGTGTCAGAATATTCTTTTCCATTCATGAAAATGAGGTGACAAAGATCACACATGCAGTTCCGTTTAGATTTTGCAGCTTACAATTTAAATGGTAAGTTTTAACCACTAACAACGTGATGGGCAGCGAAGGTAATTTTTGATCAAGGACAGCCAACTGGTCAGATAGAAGCAGCAAGAATTTGCTTTCATTTGACACGGAGCCTTAAGCAGTTTGGTGTCATTATAAGGCCCGTGTTATGTATATGAGGCGCATCATTCCTTTACAAATGCCGCCTCTGCTCTTTGAGCTTAAAATGAGCATTCTTGGATGCAGTGCAAAATTCATCTAGCATGTGGAGCTTCCTTGCCTAGTGACTACTGAATTCCTTTCATTGGAACGCATGGAACCACCACTTAAGTTTTGAACCACAAGGTGCAGTGATATGACTTCTTCTGATTTCTTCTTCTGTAACCTCGAGTCTGGTTGCAGTTGTAAAATAACAAAGACCGTATTTCACCGTTGGGCGCCAGTCACTGAATCTGCACTTTTTAGTGAAAGAGAGGGGTAAATCCTCCGATAAAAGGGATCAAACACAGTGCAAACATTTTTTGAAAAGACAGTTTTCAGTAACTATGCCTAATTTTAGACGATACAGAATCCACGGATATCATCAAAAGAGACATGTACAAGAGAAGGCGAGGACTTACTCTCAGGATAGTTTTTAGCAGTAGCCCAAAGCAAGGTGAACTGAAAACTGAAAAAAAAAATCCCAGCCTTTTATTTGCTCAATACACTTGAGGGATGAAAGGCAATCCCAGTGAATTCTGGAGAGGAGTTATTGGTTGGATGCTTCCTGAAGTCTGTTTTAATTCCTCGGAGATCACAATATATAGTTGCATTGGGGGAATTTTTGTAATGTAAGGACGAAAGTTGACTTAATAAGATGTTCGATAAGATATGAATGGCTCTAACCATGGACAAGTAAGTGTAATAGAATAAAATATTGTGGGTCACTCTTCCTTAGTCCGCAGTGATTGTCCAATGCCTGTACTTCCCTCTGGGTCCTACATTTTCAAGCAGGTGGCCATCTTTACATCGTTTGCCATCTATCTTCACCCTGGTTCAGCTTTGTTCTCATATTCATTTGTTTATCATTTGCTTTTTTCCCCCCGAGTCAATACAGCTTTTATCGCATCTTGAAAATATCACAGTTAAGTCTGAAAAATCACCGGCATCTTGCTGTGTCTGTAGCTGGACGACTTAGATCTTACTCATCAGCCCTGGTGAACTGTTCCTTTCTCAGAAACATAGATAACATTCCCAAATTTTCCGACATCCTTGTTTTTAACCGTTGTAGCTTACCTAGTCAAAGCAACTGAGTTCAATCCAAGTTCAATGTCGTTTCCTTCAAGAATTCACTCATCTTTCTGGGCTTGAGAGATTGAACAAACAATGTCAGGCCTCATCTAAACCCAGCAGATGTATTTCTCACCCAAGAAATTCCGGATTCCAACAGGAGAACCATTCTCCTGAATAGCAATGTTGATGCGGAAGTGAGCATCCATAGACGTGGTCTTGTAACGGAAGCCCAGTGTAACGCCCTTGACCGTGGTCTATATGTGACTACGGATGCTGCAAAGAGTAGCCAGTTTTTTCTTTTTTAAAAATTTTAAAAAAATATTTATTTTATTTTTGAGAGAGAGAGACAGACAGAGTGTGAGCAGGAAAGGAGCAGAGAGAGAGGGAAACACGGAATCCAAAACAGGCTCCAAGCTCTGAGCTGTCAGCACAGAGCTCTACACGGGGCTCGAACCCACAAACTGTGAGATCATGACCTGAGCAGAAGTTGGACGCCCAACCGACTGAGCCACCCAGGTGCCCTGCCAGTTCTTTTCTGTTTCCCACCATTTGTCAAGTCAGAACCTCTTCCTTTTCTTTCCAAAGCGACTGAGTTCTGTATTGACATGATTTTTTTTTTTCAACGTTTATTTATTTTTGGGACAGAGAGAGACAGAGCATGAACGGGGGAGGGGCAGAGAGAGAGGGAGACACAGAATCGGAAACAGGCTCCAGGCTCTGAGCCATCAGCCCAGAGCCTGACGCGGGGCTTGAACTCACGGAGCGCGAGATCATGACCTGGCTGAAGTCGGACGCTTAACCGACTGCGCCACCCAGGCGCCCCTGTATTGACATGATTTAAGTCCCTTCACAGGATTCCTCCGGGACCCTTCATGAGATCAGTGCTTCCCTTCAGAGTGATGTCGACATTTTTTGGAAGGTTGTCAGTCTCATTGCCGAGAATCGTCTTGATTCTTACAGTAGGTGTGGCAAAGCTATTTATAATTTGTTCTCTACTTACTTCCAAAACAGTTTGAGGCAGCGTATAATAGAAATGTAAATGTATATGGTGAAAGCAGAGTTCAAATATAGATGAAAGAGGGATTTGGGGGCACCAAAAAAGGGAGAAGTAAATGTATGAGAAATAGACGACGGTATTTTACCTATACTCAAGCACTTATCTTACTTTGTGCTTCCTGGAATCTAAATATAAAGGGACATATGTTAGACAACGTTCAATGTTTCGTAGAATTTATGACTCTTTTTCAGTGTCAACAATCTACCAACACCACCGCCATTTTCTCTTTTTAGCAAGAAGTCCTGGCAGGATAGTATGTTAATTTTTATGTAACAAAGATTGTAGAAACAATGGACAATTGGCTCTTGGCTCTTGGTAAATACACTTTACTTAATATGGACTTCAGATCTCAGTGCTTCTATATACCATCCACTCCAAAGCTGCACACCGTTTTATTATTTTACATGTGTATATGATTTGATGTAGGTAATATTAGCTTACGTATCAGGGTTCTCCAAAGAAACAGAGCACAGAACCAATAAATAGGCTCTCTTTTTGTTTGTATGTATTACATAATGCATATAATATACATGTATATAATACCTATATTTTATGTATATATATGTGTATGCATACACACACACACACAGAGGGAGAGAGAAAGAGTGACAAAAAGAAAGGGAGATTTATTTTTATTTTCCGAAATTGGTTCATGTGACTGTGGGGGCTGGCAAGTCGATCTGCAGGGCAATAGGGCAGGCTGGTAGGATGGAGATTCGGGTAAAAGTTGATGTGAAATTCAGGCAAGCATTGATATGCAGTCTTGAGACTGAATTCATCAGGGCAACAGGCTGGAATGGAGGCATAGTTTCTATCTTGCAGTGTTGAGGAGAATGACTTCTTTGGGAAACCTGCATTTTCCCGTATGTCTTCAACTGATCGGATGAGGCCCACCCACATTCTGTAGAGTAATTCGCTTTACTCAAAGTGTACCAACGTAAATGTCAATCACATCTAAGAAATACTGTCACAGCAGTATCAAGACTGATGTTTGACCAAACCACTGGGCCCCACAGCTTACCCCCAATTGACACATCAAGTTAACCATCACATGTTGAATTTATTTAATAATAATTAATTCATAATAATACCTTACAGAGTGTTGAGGCCCATGGATTTGACACACAAAATGTGTTTTCCCTGATCACCAGACTTTAATTATGCTTCTCTTTCTCTCATCACTCTTTTTCCTTTGACACGCATCCTAGTTATTATTTACATATTTATCGCTATACTTATTTCTTTAGCAGCTTTCTTTTCCACTAAACCTTAAAGGTCCTTAGACTCCAGCGTAATGTTTGGCTCATATATAGCACCTAATGTTTATTTGCTGACACAGGAATCACAAGATACATGAGATCTCGTTCTTTGTTGCCTCTCAGCATCTCTGCTGTTCCTACCCAGTCTCGAGTGAACACCAGCTCCTATCTGGAATATTTTGGACTGCTTTTGTCCACATCCGTGCCTTCTCTCCTTTAATCTGTTGTCCACACAGCGTCTTGCCACTCCCTCATTGATGCTCTCTTCTTGTTGCCTATTGCTTTCAAGGTAAAGACCGATATACTGTCCTTCTTCATCTCAGGTTCCCGCCACATGCTCACTGTGCTCTGGCCACGTGGGACTTCTTTTTGTTCCTTATATTCATGGAGCTCTTTCTGGACACCAGACACTCACCAGATGCTGGGGCAGCCTCCTTACTGGCCATTGGACTCTCTTCCCGAAGTTTTGGCTTAAATGTCAATTTTCAACTCCCTTGACTAACCAAGGTGATGTTTCCCTGTATACCTTCTTTATCACACTCATACGGAATGATCACGAATCTCTTTATTAGTGAGGTTATCCGTGATATGTATTTCTCCCCATATTCTGAACACAGAGGGCAGAGATATTGCTTACCTTGTTCACTGATGAACTTTTTTAAGTTTATTTTTTTTATTTTGAGAGAGACGGAGTCAGCGTGAGGGGAGGGGCAGAGAGAGAGGGAGACAGAGAATCCCAAGCAGGCTCTGCCCTGCCAGCACAGAGCTAGACAAGGGGCTTGAACTCACGAAACTGTGAGATCGTGACCTGAGCTGAAACCAAGAGTCGGACACTTAACTGACTGAGCCACCCAGATGCCCCATGCTGATGAATTTTTAAATCTTACCGCAGCAGATGGCATAGAACATGAGTCGACTTGAGGAATATTTGTTGAGTTCATGTATAAATGACTAAACGAACGTGAAGTGCTAAGCATAGTATCCAAAACCTGGCAAGTCTTCTGTAAACATTGGTTATTATGACTTACTGAGTGCTCAAGGGATGTCTTCAGGTGGGTATAGTAGCTCTGACCCACCAATGCAAAATCACCCAAAGTAGTTGTTATTATTTCCACTTTTAAGATGAAGAAACAAGCTTAGAGAGATTTAGTATTTTTCTTAAGATCACAGAGATCTGGCAAGCATGGAGGGGACCCCCGTCTTTGGCTCTGTCTGTTCTCTTTCCCCTCGGGAGTTACATTTGTGCTGTTGGCTTTCTCTACCTTTCCCTTTGGGAAAATTTCTGGAGGGGAAAATAAGCAGATTCATCCAAATTGTTGAATTTGAGTTTGAAGGGGACATTCTCTTGTTTTCAGTTTCTGTCTTATGTAACCCGTTTGACTCTCCAGGGTTTTATTGGGGCATCATTGAGGGGGTTTCCCTACCGGCTCTGCCTGGTAAGGAAAGAAACCAGAACCTCTATAACAATTATTGGTTAGGGGTCTCTTATTCAGGTTTCTCTCATACAACACCCCAAAAGTGGTCTAGAATTCATTACTTCATAGTGAAAACACAAACACTAATTCAGAATCACAGAATCTAAACTATTGAAAAAGTATGCACTTCATACACTTGCTAAATGGTTAACAAACAAGTAAAGCGGGGGGGGGGGGTGGCTGCCCTTTACTGGGTACCTACTCTATGCCAGGAATGAAGCGAGGTGCTTTATGTGTGTTATCTTCTTAACCCTCACAACCATTTCATCTTTGGGGCAAGGAGATTCGAGTTCAGGGGCTCTAAGAATCTGCCTCAGGTTACAGAGCGAGTAAGTGGCAGAGTTGGCATCTGGACGTAGGTTTGCCTCTCTCTAAAGATGTTATCTCTGTATTGATCCCATTTACCTTTTGGCTATCCATTTGTTTTAACATCCAAATGCATGTTCATTTATTCTTGTCTGTGACCCCCATCGGTGTGTCAGGACCACCAAGTCCTTATATTGAAGCTTTTATTACATCTGTAGGTATTTCCCCATCTACGCCTTTGCTATTGCTCATTGTTAACTTCCAAATAAGATTCTTTTATGAGCCATATATCAGCTTTGTAAGTTTTGTAACTGTTCCACTAAGAGTTATAAAGATCCAGGCAATGCTGGAATGCAAGTTCATGCTTCCCTGATGCAAAATTTGCAAAATGGCTTCCAGAAATGGCCTCTCTCCATTTTCCCAAAGTGTTGGGGTGGTAGGAGGTTTGTGCTGGCCCTTGTCAGGAAAAGAACGCTTGCAGGTCAACTGCTACTTGGGAAAGCCATCTGCAGGATTCAATGAGCAGAAACTACTAACTTTAAAGACCTTTTTAGGTTGCCCTTTCAACCATTCTATCTGGCTCCAGCAACCTAAGCCTATGAGTATAGGCTACACTGGATTTTTTCCCCAACGCTAATGTTCAAAAGATCATAGGCATGGATAGAAAGGGGAGACCTGGAATTTTCAGGAACTTCTAACTGGCTCAGTGAAGACCCCTCAAGGCTCTTCTAGACCACTTGGTGGTAGAGTTTCAGGTGTGAGTTGCAGAGTTTAATGACCATCTTCAGCATTGGCTCACCCATGGAGTGCAAAGAGAGAGATAAGTAGTAGGAATACTTGGGCTGGATTAAAACTACTACTGTAAAAGTGCAACCACAGTTTAGCTGGTTCACTTGCCTTCTATGGGAAGGGGAACATATTTGATGTATGTATGTATATTCGAATTCTAAGACCGGGGTGGTCATCCACATTGGCATCGTTTATGTTTGGTTCTTTCCAGCAGCAAATCTACCTGGATGATTCTTTAAACCCTCTTCCAGTGTCGTGTTTTTATGATTATGTGTTTTTTCTTTGATTCTTTGGTTGTTTGTGTTTTTTGTACTGACATAACCTTGTTACTTTAGGTTCACAAAAGAACTAAGTAGCATTTGTATTTGCTATTATATTGCATTAGCATATATATGGGAATCTAAGACCACCTAACACCACCTAAGTTTGTTGTTTCCTATATATATTCAGTAAAAAATAAGATATACAGCGAGTATTAGTAGAAAATATTCATTTTGCTTAAATATTCTTTTCTATGATTTGACAAACCATAATGGCTTGTTCTGAAATGACTCTTGTGTAGTATATACCATATTCCATTGAATATCAGATCACTTTTAATGGAGAAGAAGTATCCTATTATGAATAGCCTGTGATATTCATTTAAAAGTCCTTGTTCCAGTTATCATTGATTTACTAAAGGTTTTTTTTTTTTTATTTCAGAACAAGGCAGCATATTGGATAGAATTTGTGTCTATGACCTATAAATAACCAAATAGCCATAATGGTTGATCATTTCTTTTTGTAATTAAATTAACTGATGAGAGAGTTACCATAAATATGTTCTTTTAGCACCCCTGCAAGTTGATACTAGAATTCTCAATGATCGATTAATGAAGCTGTTTGAGGAGAGAGGACAAGGAGAAGCCCAAGGTAAGAGACTAATTATTTTCAACCTTTTGTATTAACATTAGTTGCAAATTCATTAAGACGGTTTCTTGCAAAAGCTAATCTGTATTTTCTAAATATAACCATTGATTGGTGACCTATGTGTGCTTCTGATGGCTGCAAATCCCTAAATATAGCTAAAGTTGGGCGGAAAGCTAAACATGGCCCAATTTTCTATTAGTACATAGAATTTATAACCCTAAATGGCAAAAATGATTTACTTACTATTGCGGGATCTTACAATGGCATATGGCATATTTGGATTCTCTAATATGAAGCCATTCTTTTTATTTATTTATTTTTTTTTAATTTTTTTTTTCAACGTTTATTTATTTTTGGGACAGAGAGAGACAGAGCATGAACGGGGGAGGGGCAGAGAGAGAGGGAGACACAGAATTGGAAACAGGCTCCAGGCTCCGAGCCATCAGCCCAGAGCCTGACGCGGGGCTCGAACCCACGGAGCGCGAGATCGTGACCTGGCTGAAGTCGGACGCTTAACAGACTGCGCCACCCAGGCGCCCGAAGCCATTCTTTTTAAAGAGTGTGTTTTAGCTTTTAAATAAGTGCTTTGGGTGATAGAAGACAAGTACTATATTGTCTTCAATCTTAGCATGGGAGTTCATATTTATGAGTGTTAGGCTCTTTAAGTAAGTAATTCTCATGTGTATTAATCTAGGAATTTACAGGTAATCCCTTAAAAACTAAAATCTAAATTCTTAGGTTAACACATACAAATTCATGCCAGAACCACACTGGAGTTTTTACCAAAGCATTAAGTGTCAGTTGAATACACATGAATTCAAATTCATGGGGAAAAAATCTATTTTTTTTCTTTAGTGTTTGCTTAGTTCTTCTCAAATGATCATTTTGTCTTTCTTATTTTAAAAAAAAAAATTTTTTTAATGTTTATTTATTTTTGAGACAGAGAGAGACAGCATGAATGGGGGAGGGTCAGAGAGAGGGAGACACAGAATCTGAACCAGGCTCCAGGCTCTGAGCTGTCAGCACAGAGCCCGACGCGGGGCTCGAACTCATGGACCGTGAGATCATGACCTTAGCAGAAGTCGGCCGCTTAACCGACTGAGCCACCCAGGCGCCCCTTGTCTTTCTTATTTAAATAATTCTTTAAAATTCATGTGAGGAGGCAGGACTCATGGTTAAGCCCTCTATTTTTTATGGTATTTTTCTATTGACTGTATGTTTAACCTTCACCATTTACTGTGTGACCTTGGGCCAATTTCTTAACGTTTCTTTGCCACTTCTGTGAAACGGACATATCGTACTTGCCACAACGGGGTAGCTACGGGGATTAAATTATTTAAAAAAAAATTTTTTTTTTCAACATTTATTTATTTTTTGGGGGACAGAGAGAGACTAAATTATTAATTATTATGTGGGCAGACATCATAAGCACATACAGAGAATAATGAAGATAACTGATGATAACTGATATTGATGAAATGATGGTGAAGATAATTGATGATAATGAAAATATTAACACCAGCTAGACATTTACTGAGTTCTTACTACGTTCCTGGCACTGCCTTAAGACCATTCTATTCTAAATAGTGTAAATATTAATTTATTTAAATGTCATAACAATCCTAAAGGTTAGGCCCCGTTTTTAAATCCCCATTTACAGAATAGCATCCCCTAAAAATTTTATTCCTCCCTAGATACATCTCCCCTTTGCTTTTTAATGATCAGATTGTGTAACTTTTTTATTTCATTTTGTCTTTATAAACCAAACAAACTCATTTTTCAAGCCAGCTTGATCCCTCGTTTTGAGAAATCCTAACTTGAATAATCAATTAGTCAGGACTCCCCCGGAAAGCAGAATGCAGTAGAACCAATAGAAAGAGAGAGTTATGGGGGCTGGCAAGTCTGAAATCCTTAGGACACACTGGTAGGGTGGGGATTCAGGTAAGAGTTGATATGAAATTCAGGCAGGAGTTGAAGGCTTGAGTCATAATCTCACAGGACAGCTGGCTGGAGATTCAAGTAAGATAGAGGTACAGTCGTGAGATGGAAATCCACAGAGCAGACCAGCAGGCCAAGAACTCAGGCCGCATTTCCTAGCTTGCAGTCTTGAGACTCAATTCCTTCCTTTTTGGGACGCCACGATCTTTTAGTCTCAGGGCTTTCAGATGACTGGGTGAGGCCCACCCACATCATGAAGGGTGATCTATGTTGCTCAAAGTCTACTGACCTTTTAAATGTTAATCACATCTAAAAATCACATTGGATGGCAACATCTAGACCCAAATGTGAACAAAGAACAGGACGCCACAGCCCAGCCAAGCGGACACATAAAATTAAACATCATAAATGGTTATGTTTGAGTAAGTGAGACTTCTATATTTTTAGTCTAATATCTGAGTTAGCAAATAGATATTGAATACCTTTTTGTGTGTGTGTGCTAAACATTGAGCAATGCACTTTTCTATCTATCATGCCCCTTCGATTCTGACACGTCTTTGCAACTTGGATCCTGGAAGCCACCCAGGTACACGTTTACAGGTAGCACCTAACAGACTTTCGAAATCATTTGTGAGCTTACAAAAGGCTTATGAAACTTGCAGAGTGAATAGTCAGGCTCCTTATCAGCTATATTATACACGAGGATATAATTGAGCTCTAGAAGGTTTAAAGACTCGTGCAAGGCGAGACAGTGTACCCGTGAACAAAGAAGAAAGGCCAACAGGACTCTGGACACTGTAGTCCAATGCTCTCTCTCTTCAGTTCCCTGCCTCACGTCTTGCTGGAAACCAAGCTCTCTTCCTTTGGTTAAAAGTGCCTAGGTTTTTGTTAAAATTCTAACTTTGGAAGGCGTGGAAAATCCCATATTTTATCTTCTGGCGTTTTTGTTTCCGAGCCTGGAAGAGAGACGTTTGTTTTATATTTACAGTGTCTATCCAGCTAGATGAAGAAATGCATTTTGTAGATGCTACCGTTTTCAGATGATCGAGAGAGAAATAATGTACATGCAGCATTTATAGACATGCAGGCACTTCTATGCAAATAAACAGGGCAACCCAAATAAAGTCCCTCTGTGTTTGCATAGCTTGGGAACTGTTCTCCGCGTTCCCCACTTGAAAAATGAACCCGGGGCGCCTGGGTGGCTCGGTTGGTTAAGTGTCTGACTTTGGCTCAGGTTCGTGAGTTCAAGCCCCACATAGGGCTCTGTGCTGACAGCTCAGAGCCTGGAGCCTGCTTCAGATTCTGTGTCTCCCTCTCTCTCTGCCCCTCCCCCCACTCATGCTCCGTCTCTGTCTCTCTCTCAAAAATAAAGAAACATTAAAAGAAAAGAAAAGAAAAATGAACCCAAGTGCACTGGCCTCTTCTGAACCTCTTCATCTCCTGAGTTGGTTTTAGCAAAACAACAAGAACTGCTAGATGTTGTGGTAAACAACATGTAATATTAAGGCACCGAAACACAGGGTATCTACACTTCAGGATCTATTTGGTAAGTGGGAAAAAAGGCTGGAATGCAGAACCTATACTTTACCCACTTTGTGAGCATCACAGGAAGAGGAACAAAAGTTGTTGGCGTTGTGGTTGTGTTGTAATCTTAAAACTTGCTCCAGGCTTTAGCGATTTCCTGGTACATTAGACAGAAAATAATTTGCTTAAACTGTAGATTACGGAAAGCCAAGCTTTATCCCCTATAAGAAAAAAAAAAGTGGTTAGATTACTGTGTGTTCAGCCAACGTTAAATTGACATAGAGAAAGTCAAGTTTCGTGTGATCCTTTTGGGGCGAATAGATGGGAGCCGCCAGGAGGAGATTTTGGATTCTGAAGAGACAGTGAATTCCAGAAAGAGACCGGAATCCCACAAAGAGGGCAGCGAGGCATCTGAAGGATATGTTCAGAAAAATACAATTCTGCTTGGAAGTTCTTCTTTGGAACAGGTCAGCATTCAAATATACATCAATAAATGTTAAAATAATCGCTCTCCTTTTTAAAAAATATTTATTTATTTTGGGGAAAGCACAAGTGGGGGAGGGGCAGAGACAGGGGGACAGAGAATCTGAAGTGGGCTCCGTGCTGATAGGCTGACAGCAGAGAACCCCATGTGGGGCTCGAACTCACGAGCCCCGAGATCATGACCTGGGCCAAAGTCCCACACTCAATTGACTAAGCCACCCAGGTGCCCCAAGATAATCTTTTTCTAAGGTAACAGTTGAAATGTCGGTCCTGCCCATTGTCTCTTGATTTTCCCAACCCATGCCTGTCTAGAACACATGATTCATGACTCACCCAAATCTTTTCCCTCATTTTTCGTACACGTTGTATCACGCAGAACTCATGCTGTTTCTCAATATCAATCCCAGCCCTCACACAATTTAGTTTTACTTCATCCGGTTTTACTTCATGCTAAGCTTGCTCACAGGTAGCATATTATGAACGGTCTGTAATGAAATCTGAAAACAGCATCAACGTACTTGGATACAATTAAGAAAGTACTTGGATCTGTTTTGCATGACACGTGAATAATCCGGTATTTGTGAAGTCACCGTTTAAAAGGGAACTTGGACATTTTAACTGTTGTGACTCATGCCCCACAAGGCCGTCTGTAGCCCATGGATTGTGTTGACTTTGGAAACACTTTCCTGTTTTCTGTATGTGTTTCTGTTGATCCATGATGTAACATTATGTGCTCAGATCCACCAAAGAGAGAAGCGTTACACATGGGTAGTTCCAGAGGGGTGTGTGTGTGTGTGTGTGTGTGTGTGTGTGTGTTGTTGTTGTTTGTGAAAGGTAAGCTGATTTAGGCCAAAAAGGAAAAAAATATCACCAGGGACAAGTTATATCGCCAGAAGGAGATGACTCATACATAAAATATCCAACACAAAGGAGGTACTCCTTAAATGGCAGGAAAGAGAGGAAAGAATGGTGTTCTTCCCAGGGGAAAACCTAGTTATCTGCAACTGATTAAGAACAGGTACATCATATACAATAAATGATAGGAAATGTCCAGGAAGAGAGTTTAAAAATAAAATTATTTTATTTTTCATTCAATACTGATTGGAAAAACAAGGTATTGTTGCGCCCCTGAATTTCTTCTGTGATCGAGTTTGTTAAAGCTATGCACCTAATTGATTGGTTTTGTTTCTGGCTGGGTCATTCTCAGACCTAAGTCATTTCATGCCTTTCCTACAAGCTTTCTAATGTCTAGGAGGTAGAAAATGTCTTCATAAAAATTCGTAGGGTTAGTTTATTCAATTAAGTCACCAGGCTTTTGGGAAGTTTTAAGACACGATTTATGTGTAATATGCCATAATAAGGAACATTATTTTAAGTTTTTGTCTTGATTTTACAAATAAAATATTGGATTTGGGGTAGTGGAGGAATAATATGCTAGTTTGAACCAAGCATCTTCCAGGGGCACATTCTAAAAAGCTTACCAGTGTGTAAGGTGCCTGGGTGGCTCAGTTGGTTAAGCATCTGACTTCTTGATTTCGGCTCAGGTCATGATCTCAGGTTCCTGGGATCGAACGCTGTGTCAGACTCTCCAATGACAGTGTAGAGACTGCTTATGACTTTTCCTCCCTCTCTCTCTGTCATTCCCCTACTAGGGTGCTCTCTTTCTCTCTCTCAAAATAAATAAACATTAAAAAAAGCTTATCAGGGTGTCTTAGCTACCCTTACTTTTTTAAATACTTTTTTTTTTAAGTTTATTGACTTATTTTGAGAGAGGGGAGAGAGGCCGAGAGAGAGGGAGACTCTCAAGCAGCCTCTTCCCTCTCAGCACGCAGCCTGACACGGGACCGGAAAACACAAAAGTGTGAGATCAGGACCTGAGCTGAAATCAAGAGTGGGATGCTCAACCCACTGAGCCACCCCCTTTTCTAAATTCTTTACAACTGACTGGCATTTGGCAACGGGACTGAATCAAATCTAGTATTCTGCATGAGTGAAAGTCATGTCTGAACCCTCATTCCCCAAATACGAACAAAAATGTAGAAGTGTAAAATCCATAATGAAATCTCCATAAATAAAAGACGGATTTCGTAAGACACTTTAACAGATTAACCAGTATATTTTCTGTAGGCTGGACTGTATTTACCTCTGTGGTTAATATGGAAAAAGTTTTGGAGATGAAATGGATTTTTATTTTTATTTATTAAAAAAAATTTTTTTAGATGTTTATTCATTTTTGAAAGACAGAGAGAAATAGAGCACAGGCAGGGGTGGGGCAGAGAGTGGGGGGGGGGGGGCGGGACACAGACTCTGAAGCAGGCTCCAGGCTCTGAGCTGTCAGCACAGAGCTCAATGTGGGGCTCGAACTCATGAAGCGTGAAATCATGACCTGAGCCAAAGTCGGCCTCTCAACCGACTGAGCCACCCAGGCGCCCCTGAAATAGATTTTTATAAATCGCTAAGGACATTTACGTGAGCTCAACTTCTACATGATTACTTGAACCAATACAGTCGCTTATGTATCACTCCTTAAATATTATATTAAATATAAATTAAGATATCATGAATAAAATTATAAAGATAAACAGAACAAGAGCACAAACATCATATCATGGTGAGAAAAAAAAAAGCAGTGGTGACTTTCCACATGTTAATTCAAGGGATTGGTTAAATCTACATAAGAAAAATTTACTGTCCAATTTATGGCACTCACATGTTTCCTTCTTTAGCCTCCATTGTAGGTATTTAGTTTTCTTCCTCATTAGTTATCTGGCATACGTTTTTGAACATCCCAGGAAACAAAAGGTTTCAGATGGGGGCATTCTTGTCAAAGCTGACTGGCATTGAAGGAGAAACAGGTTACCATGTAGAATGAGTAAACACATTCCACTGATGTCATCTTTGCTCTGAAAAATCTTTATCTAATGCGGTCACAATCAATTGTTGATTTACTTACTGTCAGTTCACATTCCATCAGCACCTCCAAGTGAAAAGAGATTTGCAAAATGAAAACATGTTATTAGTTGTTACTTTTTTTTCATGGAGATTTATTTCATATATTACCTTTTTTTTTTTGCTGTGATTGATAGTATTTTAGTTTTAGTTCCTACTAAAAGATAAAATTGTTTCCATCTTTTCTTTCCTCATTTCCAATAGTAGGATCTATTAGGCAAGTGGGGTCACTGGAGAAATTTATGTCATTAAAAAATGTGTGGATACGTAGCGGAACAGCAACCTGAGAGTGACAAAGACAACTAGTTCTGCAATCAGGCAAAATTGGACGATCCGAGCATCTATCTGAGGTGTTGGACATGGTCTAAGGATAGCGTTTTAGATATCTAGAGACTGAGTAGGCTGGTCATTCTTCAAAAAAAACCCCATTAACATAATTTCTTAGAAATGAAAATTTAGCATCTCTAAACTCCCAGAAAGTTTGAGGTTCTGTTATGGTATACAGATCTAAAGTGCAAAATTCTTTATTTCAGATGCATTTCTTTTGGTATTCAAGTAAGTCATAGGGTATGGTTTATGTGCTCCTATGAAAATCCAGGAGCCTACTAGGTCATGTTCCAGAACAGGAAGCCACTCCACTTCTGTATGGAATTGAGTCAAGGAAGGAGAAAGTGCCGTGATTTGGAGGACAGGTTCATATGTGGTGATACAACTATATGTACATAGGAAAAGACAAAGTAGGAGAGCTGAATAATCTTTGGTAGGTTGTCACGTTCTATGACTCTTCTAGATCCTTTTCTACATTCGCATATTTAAAATTGTAGTAAAGTGGTTCCTGACATCTCTAGCCATTCATTCCCCTTTGTCTTTTATTAATATATAGTCCACCACCAATAACAATCAGGCTTCCTCAGAGTTCAAGGCAAGTTCCAAGTGGCTGTATTAGCATTTTGACCAGATATCCTTTTACCTGTAGTAAAACAGATCAACATTTCTGAAACAAAGTTATCGATGCAAATCAATCACAAAACATGATTTTTTAATGTCTATTTTTAAAACAAAATAGGATCAGTTTGACACATCTTTAATAATTCTATTCTAATCCCCATTCTCATGTAAAGTTCCTTGTCTCACCAAATTTCCTTCAGAAACTCAGCCTTCAATTATATATCAGCAAATGAAAATTTGTGCTGAATGAGACAGAAATAAGAATAGTACATTATGTTCAAAGGAAAGGAATCCCATACATGATATTTAACACTCAAAATAGTACTTCAACAAATATGTCAAGATACTCTTTATTCCATGATCTCCTGTACAGAAAGTGTCATTTTTTTCTAATCTTCAAAACCAAGTACAGAGCCTGGCAGAAAACATAAAGTATACTCTTGTTAAATTTTTTAAAATGTTTTATTTATTTGTGTGTGTGTGTGAGAGAGAGAGAGAGAGCTGTCAGCTTAGAGCCTGATGCAGGGCTTGAACTCACAAACCATGAGATCATGACCTGAGCCAAAGTCAGAAGGTAACCAAGTGAGCCACCCAGGGGCCCCAGTATACTCTTATTTTTAAATGAATGAATGAATAAATGAGTCCTGTCGATAACTAATAGGACAAAATTATCATGGATATCATTAGCATAGAGATGTTCTCTGATATTAATTTTCTCTAATACAGTCTAATGTCATTATGTGGAGTGTTAGGATTCGGTACTTTCATGCATATCATCTCAATTATATTGAAAAATATTTGTGTCGTAGGATAAAGAAAAATAGTTTTTATGTCTTATGGGCTTATTGAGGTATAATTGAAAAATGAAATTGTAGTATATTTAAAGTGTGTACTGTAATGATTTGGTATACTTTTTGGTTGTTTTCATGAGAGTGCTTAAGATCTATTGTCTTAGCAAACTTCAAATGTACAATATACTATTAACGATAGTCACGATGATGTACATTAGACCTTTAGAACCTACTCAACGTACAACTGGAAATTTGTGCCTTTGAGCAACATTTCCCCACATCTCATATTCCCCACC